TATTTTTCAATTTCGTCTATCGGAATCACGGAGGCGACCCAATATGAGAAATCCGACGGGTCGTCAGGCATATCTCCATACACCGAATTAAGTCGTTGTAAAAGCCAAGGTGCGTTACCATTACGAAGTGTCTCGATGAAATCACGTGAAATACCAATTAACTCTGAGGTCGTGTACTCCCGTTTTGGAACATTTATAGGGTTGCTGTTGTGAATTTGGGCACGCATCAATTCTTCCCTCTCGATCCTTTCCTCCTCCTCGGGACTGATATCGTCGATTCGCTCGATTCGTCCCACATCGTATCCATCCTTGGAACCCCTTTCGGCAACTTTAAATCTATACGTTCCAATCGTTTCGACGAGCGAGCGACCATCCGTTAAAAATTCTGCGGACCTTATTTCCAACATTGTCCCATAATCATGATACGACGTACCGTTCGTTAATACCATCCCAAACTGCCTTTTACGTGATTCCATGCACCTTCGAATCATTAACCTATACCTTGGTTCAAACACGTGAAGAAAATATGGCATTTTCGGAAAGACCAGGGCCGTGACAAATATGGGAGTTTCCTGCGTGGTGTTAAAGAACTCATTCTCCAACGCGAATTTCCTTTCCGCGTACAATGAAGGATACAATGCCCTTATGAAGGTGTATATCGTCTTGTTTATGGGATGGTGCAAGTAAGCGTTATAATTATGAAGCTGATTCCGACATAACGGACAGGCGGAATTATGGTCCAGGGAACGAGTCAAGCAAGATTTACAAAAGCTATGACCGCAAGGTGTCGTGATCGGATCTATGAATAGGGAACAACATATTTGGCAATCTAATTCCGTCACTATTAAATCCTTAATCTGCCTTAGATCGAAATGCGTCGTCGTCATTGACCTGTAATGGCTCATCCGACCCGACCGTAATTCCGTTACTGCGCCACCTCCAAAATCATTGGAATTCACCAGGTCGGATATCCTTGACTTTGATGTTGTCATTATTGTACTATTTTCTTCCTTGGGTTCGTAAATGTTCTGAAATTCATCCAATAATTGAAACCCTTTTCTTTCAACGTCTAATATGTCATTTGTATTATTATCCGTTTGAAGTATGGTTTGCCTCGATTCTCTTAAGGGCAAAAGTGTGTCCAATTCTTTTCGACATATATCGGTTAATTTCTGCAAGGTTACATCCGTTTTACAATCAAGTGAATGATATTTTCCACATCCGTAGATAGGACATTTACATTGATTTGAGAACTGCGATGGGTTGGGAATGCAATCACGACACAGCGAATTCCCGCATTGAAATGTGACAGGGTCGGCGAGAACCTCCTGACAGCTCGGACAGGTCAGATATTGGAGAATTGCAAGTGCGTTTGTGTCGGAATTGTTCTCTTCATGTTCCAGAGAGAACGATTCCGTCGTTGTTTGCACATTCTCACTGTCCGAATTCAGCAATGACATTATTTTCATATCTGATTTTTTTTTACAGGTGAGATGTGACCCAGCGATTTTTGATTTTACGTTCGTGATAAACTTTGCAATAATAAAAAAAAAGGTTTCTCTTTTTGTAAGATATTCGAATTTTTTTTTTTTTTTTTTTTTTAAGGAGTGGGGATGATATTTATATATATATATATATATTCGAGTATATAATGATATTGCGAGGATATAATAATAATAATAATAATAAGCAAAAGAAGTTATGAAGTTCCCCTTTTATAGTCGCGCAAGATGAAAGGTTTGGATGAATTGAAAACTAAATGGAAGAAAAGAGTACAATATCAACGCATTGTTAGTCATAAGCTTCCACCAAAAGTCAAGAATTTATCAAAATTATTTTTTGCCAATTAATAAAAAAAAAAAAAAAAAAGGTAGGAAGAGACGAAAATTGTTTGAAGTTTTAAAGGAAAAGACGGGAAAAAAAAAAAAATCTTGTTGGACAATTGGACAATATATATATATATATATTTATATATATTTATTTATTTATTTTTATTTATATTTTATAGTATAATAATTATATGTGTGTATAATAAATACATACATATATATATATATAAATTACAATAGAAATAAAATAAGTACCTGATACTCAAAAAAAAAAAAAAAGTGGATACTTTTTTTTTGTTTTTATTATATTTATATTTTGTTGGCTTCTCGATTAATAAAAAAAAAAATTAAATTTTTTTTCACCTCCTATTTAAAGAGTTTATATGGTGTTTTTTTTTTTTTTATAAAAAAAAAAAAAACTTAAATATTTCTTAAAATTATTATATATTATATATTATATATTAACTTGAAAATCTTTTGTCCCAGTAAGTGGGATTGTGCACAAACAACGAAACATTTGATTTAGTAATTCATTATGTAATAATACCTTTTCGGTACAGTAAAGCTTGCATATATGAACGATCCTGTCGTATTGGGACTAGCACGAATATTAAAAAAAATTTTGTCAATCGCCGATATCTTTCAAAAAAATATATGGTTTCCCACAATGGGACAAACATTTTTTGTTTAGAAATTTTGTGATTATTATTATAATTTTTATTATAATTTTTTTTTGTGACTCAAATTTTATTTATTATTCTTTTTTTTTTTTTTTGCGAATCCTAATAGTCTTCTTTTCGCATTCCCTCATGCTTACCTAAAAGAGGAATTCTTGATTTGGCAGGAAAAAAAAAAAAATCTTTTTTACGATACAACTGGCGTTTTCACGACTAAAATGAATCACAATGAAAAGAATGAAAAGCCAACCTACAGTATATTTCGGGGAATCGACAATATGAAATATATGAAATCATCGATTCTCACCCATGTCACCGTGATGAAAAAGGAAACGGTAAAAGATCCAAAATACCAAAGAGACGGGACAGTGTGACGTCTCACGTTTGTTTTTTTCTCGAGATTTCCCACTAAAGCTCAGGTATACTACACATCAAAAACCATTTGTGATCTAACATGTGGCGTAATCTAATTTCTTTTTTTTTTTGATTGTGTATTTCGAAAAAAAAAAAAAATCTGCACGACGACGTTCGTCACATTTCTTATCACCTATCACCTTTTTCTATCACGTCTTATATTCCCTAGGCGTTTCAACCGTTATCAAATAATAAATAATCAAGAAAATATTCATGCCGTTTCGTTGGATAAGGAAATAAAGTTGCGGATGATTTCTTTCTAAGAAATCATCAAAATCAATTGATAACTTACGTGTAACGGGCGGGCAAACAATGATTCTCGACGTAAAGGGCAAATTGGGATGTGATGTAAAAAAATCTCACACAAGTTTGGGAAAGACATTTCGTAATCGTTATCGTCCTTACGAAATGTATCTCATAATAATCGTCATAATCAACCGTGTTTACCTCAATTGGGTTAAATTAACGATCTTTTGGCCATTTTGGCCGTGTGTCCAAGAGGAGAGAGGTGGGTAGTAGGAATGTATACCGGGTGTGAACCAGAGAAAGCTAGCATGCCTTAACTTGTACCAAGGACCTTTTTTTTTTAAAAATGTTGATTGCAAAATTACAAACTGTAACCTGTACGCCAAATCCTTGTAAAAAGAGTTCTCGTTGTACGACAAATATAAGTTGTGAAGGGTTATCCTCAGGTTTGATGATCCTTTTTTTAAAAAAAGAATTTTATGAATGAATGAAAAACGGATGAAAATGCAAAAAATAGTACAACATGAAATATAGAGGAAAACCACCCTTAACCATTCTTAGTATCAATTCATTCTGACGAAAAGGATGACTAAGCGGTCACGTAAACAAAGTCTATGACGACGCGACACAAATAATGTTTTGATATGAAAACAATATTTACAAAGGCTACCTTTTTGTAGCACACCTATTGTTTACTTAATATATGCGGGAACAAAAAAATATATATTCGACCCTTTTCTCCAAATTTCCATATGGTTTTCCTTTAATCTTAAGCTTAATGCGGTGTGACAGCATCATGCGAAGGAATTGGACGAGGTCCTTCAACCCTTTTCCCTTTATTTTATTTATTATGTTATATATATATACATTTTTTTTTTTTTGCCAGACGCAAACAATTGCGAAGGGAGAAAACAGGGCACGAGTGTCATATCAAACATATCAAACATCAAGATCAAGAACGGGTCGAATTTATGGCGTAACCGCTCGCATGAACTATAAATTCTTTGTCGCGTGGTACCGTTGAAACAATGTTTACCTGTGAACGTATTGTGAGAGTTAGATATTATGCAACGGGTTATTGCAAATGCTTGAGAAGAAGAGAAGAGAAAAAAAAAAATACGTTTTGTATGACATAAAAAGTATTCACCATTTAAGGAGGATTTTCCTGGTGCAGGGCAGGTTCTAATGCTTGCGAGAGTAATACTTTTTTTTTTTTTTTTTTTTCGATACCAGCGAAAAACCTTTGTAATTGCTTTTTTTTTTTTTTTGATTCCGGGAATATGCCTAAAAGAGGTTCGATTATACATACATCGTACAAAGAAAAAAAAAAAGTTGGAAACAAGGCTGAAAATGTTTTGTTCAGATTGTCCCTAATATTTCCAGTTAATATCTGCTTACAAAATGCTGACTACTGACAACAATGCTGCAATTTCGTGATAATTGATGTGATTAGCACGAACTATAAATATTGTCTGTTTTGTAATTTACTTTACATGTATATTTGTTAGGTCCCAATCCCTGTTTAAGTTCTGGAACCTTTTTTTTCAATGCCTCAAGAAAATTCCGAACTTTTTAGTCAATCAATTGGTTCAATCGAATTGAGCGGCATGGTGGCTTTTTTTTCCGTCAAAACAGATGGCACGACATTGGGAAATTTTCATCATCTGGGAGAGAGAAAAAAAAATAAAATCAGGTCTTTGGTTTTGCAAAAAAAAAAAAAAAAATTATAAACAAAAAAAAAAAAAAATAATTATCGCTTCCATTTTTTTCATTATTTCATTTAAGCATGTAGGTCTTTTTGGTTTTCACATGACGTAGATCTCTATGTGAAAAAACAATTATTCCCGTGACCGCAATTATGGCGTAATGAATGACATAAGTGAAGATCGATAATAATTTGAAATTTTGGGTTTTTTTAGATAGCTTTTACTAGACTTTGCCGGATCTTCAAACATTATTAAAATTTTGGAAAAGGATCTACAGAAAACCTGTCACAACACCAGTTTGAAGGGTGATAATAAATAGTTCGGACCGGAAGGCAACGTCCCGTAATTTATTTCCGAAATGTTTGAAAAGGGATATCACACAACACGCAAGTGTCAATCTTTCAATTATGCGATGTTACAGTAGATTTAATTAATTATGAATAAGATACAAACATATGCCAGATACTGTGGCACTTTGTTCTAATCCTTCTTGGAATATTTTTTTTTTTCTTTTTTCTTTCTTTCTTTATTTATTTTTTTTCGGTATTTTCAGTATTTAAAAAAAAGTGAGAGAAATTAAAATTTTCTTTCCCCGTTTTCTTTCTTTTCCCTTAAATTAAATAATGATAATAATGATAATAATAAATATTAAATAATAAATATTAATAATTAATAATTATCCATAAAATTTTTTTTTAAAAAAAAAGAGTAAGTAAATGCTATATAATAATATCATATCAATCGTAAAAAAGAAAAGGGTAACATTACACTAAACTTTATCGGACGATTTTTTTTTGGTTGAAGTGTAGATCCAGGCACGGAATGAATATCTTTTGATGATACTTTTTTTTCTTTTTTCGTATATTACATTCAAAACGTGGATGTCGATTTGGGAAAGGGGAACATCCGGGGAAATGAGTGTGGAAAAAATCATAATGGTTAAAAGAATAAATTAAAATAATAAGAATAAATAAATAAAAAAAAAAATAAACAAAAAAAAAAAAAAAAAAAAAAAAAAAAAAAAAAAAAAAAAAAAGAACAAAGCAAAGAAAAAATAAACCAAAATCAAAAAAAAAAAGATACAGTAAAATTTTTTCGGGAAATTTTTTTTTTATTTTTTTTCTTATTTATTAAAAAATGAGTACATCATCATCACCTGATTCGCGAAGTAAATCTCAAAAAAAGAGAGGCAAAATCAACATTGTAGCATGTGATAGATGTAAGCGTGATAAAAAAAGATGTGATGGGAATTATCTCACTCAAAAAACCTGCGAATATTGTCAAAATCATAACGAAATTTGCGTCTACTCGGAGCCAAATTTCTTGAGGATCAGTCGCATTTTGAATGCTGCGGCGAAAAATGCCGCTGCGGAGGAACGTGAATCGGATGATCGCGAGAAACTTCAAAAACAATTAATAGAATACGAAAATACCATAAACAAGTTATCAAGTCAACTCGAAATTAAAAGTAAAACCGATCAATCAAATACATTAAATTCCATCGAAAAACTTTATATTTCTTTATTCGCGAATTCCCAAATTTCAATCGAACAGACAATGATCTTAAAGAAATTATGCGAGATTACCCATGCCCCCATAAATTTAAATGTATACGGTAATGAAATTCGAAATAAATTGTCAATACTTGAAACAGATACCGTAACTGATGAGGAGAAAAGACAATGTTGGGAAGAACTTGATAAATTTATTAAGATGCACAATGATAGC